TGTTATTGTTTTGTTTTTGATGTTTGTTTGAAAGACATGAACTCCGCACCCAGATACTGTAATCCATCATTGAGATACCAGTGTCTTGGTGTACCTAAGCAGACAGATGCGATGAGCTGGTCTCCCACTGGACAGTCTGTTCTAAATTCAGTCATTAGTAAATAAAGGAGTCATGAAGGGTTTTTCCACAAACATCTTGGCCCAGGTAAAGCCTGCTCCTTGTCAAACCGAACCACAAAATTACACAAACCATCTCATCTTGCTCAATTGCCTTTATTGTATCTACTCTTGAATTGGTTGGAACTAACATATAATTGTCAAGGACCGAGCTTTTGAATGCCCGTGACTGATTTAGAATCCAGGATACCTTCTTGGACTTCAGGTTTCTTAGGTGCATATAAATTCTTTTACTTGACATTTTGTAGGGGAATTTTACAACACCCCAGGAGATGTTGGGAGACACCCTGGAGTAGCAGTTGTCAACCTGTGGGTGGTGACCCACAAACAGGGTCGCCCGATTCATATCAGTAGCAAAATTACAGTGATGAAGTAGCAATGGAAATGATTTTATGGTTGGGGGGGGTCACCACCAACATGAGGAACTGCATGAAAGGGTTGTGGCATTAAGAATGTTGAGAACCACTGCCCTGGAGGATCCCAAATACAAGATGAGATGTTACTGCTCTGAATGACGGAGAATATTATTGCTGTTCCAGGCAGCTAAGGGGAGCTCTAAAATGTTTTCACTTCAACTCCCAGTCGAATCCTGAGTTTGTCTTCTGTCCTATTAAATCTTATTTCTCAAAATATACTTTCCCTCCCCTAATTTTTATGTGTATGCAAATAATTCCTCCTATATATGTGTCAGAATTTATATTTCCTGTGAGCTACACTGTAAGCCAGTTGTGAAGTAAGTTATAAGAAAAGACATGGGCCAAAATCCATCATTTCCAGGAAGCCATGGGGTACGTAAAACTTGGGAATGGTCTTTGGGAAAACATAGCACTGGAAATCCAAGAAGATGGTTCCGTTGGGAATGGAGAAAGTCATCGCTGAGTTGTATAAATAACTGAGGACTTGGAGGGGTGGGTAACCTTCAAGCAAAACTACTGAGATGAAGTGCTCTCTGCATGGGAAAATCCCACTTCTTCTCACAGCCTAAAGTTTTATTTCCCATGCCTTCCATTCCGTACTCTGTCACTTCTGTTTTTTATTCCACCTTTCGAAATTCTATACTTTTTACTGTTGATGAAGAGAAATATTTAGGGAACAACCAGTACCTTATATGAATTTCAACATTAGGTAAATGAAGTCATTTATACTGAAATACTTGATATTATTTGGTTTCATTTGTGGTTGAATCCAAAGTAATGTTTAGCAAATTAAAAGTGCAACTTTGTCTTCCACCTCTAGCAAGAGTCGAAGGTTTTACCCATTCCAAAAAAGGTGGGGAAAGGTTGTCCTCTGCCATAAATACAAGTGGACAAAGAGAACACTTGGTTTTTCATTGCATTACTGTAAAGTATTTCCCCATTTCTGGAGACCATGCTCTCAACAACAAATTAGTCCATGGATTCACAGCCTCTTGTTCTTGTTTCTTCTTTGTGTAACGTTCTGCAAGCCCCCCAAAACATCTGGAAGGCTCTATTGACAGCCTTTCTCAAAACTTCTAAAAACCAAGCCCAAGCCTAAGATCTTGCAGCGCAATTTCCTTTCTTTTATCCAGGACCGAAAATAAAGCCTTTAAAAATCTTAAGCAAAAACAAAACAAAACCCCAAAAATAGTGTAATAAAAATTGAAGCAATATTAGGCAAAAAGTAAATATAAAATAAGTTCTTGAAAAAGCATGATCTTTCCCTTGATAGGATTACTGTGATCCTCTGTAAAATGATTCAAATGCGGGTTTGTGTCTATGTCCCAGCTTTACTGATATCTTTCCAGTTGCCATTCCGTCAGCAGACCTTCTGTGTTAGAATAGACGTGTATGACATAGGTTTTCTAGTGGCGGATCTTACTGAAGTCTATTGCCACACCATTCTTCCAACGTCCTCTGGGTGCACTCAAACGACTAAGCACATGCATAGACCAGCTGGAGGATAAGTGAGCACTGTGCTGCAGACGCTGTGTGACCTTGCAGTTGAGCGTTTTTCAGGTGCTCAATGCCCCTAGATGTAAAGACTGACCCCAAATATCATAGAGGCCGTGTGTGTACATGGACTTGTTTATACGAAGATAGCCACACACAGTTCATTGTTATATCTTAAAATACGTTCATTTTCCTTGTCTTCAGCACTGAACTGAAGCACTTAACCCTGGGTGTATCCGTAGGGACACTCCGCAGTCCTAGGAATCTAGGCTAAACGGGCCCCAAGTCACTCCCCTTGCCTTCATCACAAAAAGGAGAAATCTAAACAGTGGAGCGTAAGGAGATGGAGTCATCTCTACCCACCCCAGGGCCGGTTTCTTAGCCAAGCCTTTGCCCTTTTCCACGTGGCAAGTATTACACTTAAGGCAGATAGGCCTGCAGTGCTTGCTGCTGTCTCATCTCCCCACCCCGCCCCGCCCTCCTGCCCTTCTCCCTGGGAAACAGGGCCTGTTTTCCAGGTAGTCATGGTGTGCACAGGTATGCTTGCACAGGCCACTTTCTTTTTGTTTATGTCCTCCACCATTCTGTTTGCTGCTTCCCCTCGGAAGAGAAGTCAGCAACAGTTGGCCACCTTACCAGGTAGGCATGTTCCTAAAAGGGAAGCCAGGGCTGTTTTTCAGCTCACCAACACAGGGCTGCGGGGGTTTCTGGCACACCTACACACCCCCCACTGTAAACTACATCAGCTCTGGGCCATCTTCCCACCTGTGACTGTGCAAGGTGTCTACAGGCATACAGACACTGAGAATGAGCTGAAGGGCAAGCTGCTTGGAACTGGCAAGGTTAGCTACACTGGAAAGAAGAGCCGTTTTTATTTGGGAGGAGGAGCTTGCACCATCTGGGCTCCGGAAAGGTCCTGTCCCTAGCTCTCCCGAATGAGCACACTGAGAAACCGTGTATGTTCTTGTTGCTGACCCTCCCTCAGCTGTGGGCCACCAGCTCTCTGCAATCTGGGAGGAACACTGTCAAAGCTGGCGGGTAAACTTACCCATTGAGCATATTATGCATGCTAATATATATGCTTTTGAACATTTTATTATTATCCCCCAATTTGCTACTTTCTTAGGAACTGTTGAAAAAAAAAATCCACTGCTTGGTGATAGTCAAGATAGAGAAAGAGTTCTTGCTCCGCGTCTCTCTAAACTATAACCAGAGGGCCGTTGCCTGTGAGGTCGAACACCATTTGTTTGCTCCTTGAGCGTCAGCTGGGTCCATGTGCCTTTCTAAGGCCCTTTAGCACATTGTTACTGTTTCACAGCAGCAAGGAGACCTGTAAGCCCATGTTCTGGATCCATCTCTGTTGGTTGCAAAATCAGGGCCAGATGTGCCTGCATTGCAAAGGCTTTTCAACTGTCATTTTTAGCATATCTCTGGATCAAGATTTGGAAATCTGTCCTCTTTTAACCCTAGGCCGAATTTTTTTTTGTAGCCAAGTTTTTGCAACTCATTATATTTGGTATCTTTATGCAGACTGTTAGATACGAATTACATGGTGATGATCATTCTTATTTTTATAGCCTGAGGAAGAGAATCCTCCTCTATGCCCTCCCCCCCACCCCTATCCCACCCCCATTGGTGGAATGGTGTTTTGAGTAGATCAATACCACTTAAAAAACAACAACACCTTTTATTGTGATTTCAGTGAAGGGTTACGGCTCACTTTGGTTTTCCATGTAACAATTCATTCACATTTTGTGACATCAGTTGCCATCCCCACAATGTCCCAGAGCTCTTCCCCCTTCTCCCCTGTGCTTACCATCTCCGGTGTCCTTACCTGTGCCTTCCTGCCTCAGGAGCTCCATCCCTAGGTCATACCCAGCTCCGTACCTTGATCGCCTGGTTGATTGTCCTAAGGTGTGAATGCTTCCTTATTATTGACCCTGTAGTCCTGTCTATTCTTTGGCTGAAATAATAGGGGGTGAGTTCAGTTTCAGGCTCAAAGAGTGACCAAGAGCCCTAGTCCTGGGGTATACTGCCGTTGTATATACAATGTTGTTACAGAGCGGGACATATGATACTTTCTTTAGAGCATGCTTTCCAAAGTATTCCTTTCTATTGTCCGCATGTATTGAAGTATTTTATGCAAACAATCTGTCCATGCTCCAGAATGAAGAGACA